CGGTGGTGCCACATAAGGGTCAGGTGGGCTAGTGTGCGACAGGAGCAGGACGTGGTGACCTCAGCAGACGCAGTAGCCGGGGGAAACTCAGTGTGCAATGCAAAGAGACCTGACTCAGGATGACGCTCAAAAGTGGCTAAGTGTCGACCAGTGACTATGTCTGTGCAAGCACCGTGTCTCTCGCGGCCAGGGAACGTAGTGGTGATGCCTCAGTCCTAGAGGTGACTGACACCCACTAGGTTCTTGGCAAACAAGGGGATGTGCAAACCGGTGAGGGAGCTAGAAGGGATAGCTGGACAGAGGAGAGTGGTGGTGCTACGTGTGACAACTGTGGTGGAGGAGTCTGCTAGTGCGACGCGGACAAGCGGAGGAAGCGGGGTGAGAGCAGTACTCTCTCTCGAAAAAAAGCACCGAGTCGCGGCAGGAGTACTGTCTGCTAGTAGCTGGGCCTCGGTACAGTTCGCACGCCAGCGGGCCTTGAGGGAGTGCAGGTGCTCGACTATGTCTGCTTTAGTGGTGAAGAACGGCAGGTCAGGGTGGAAGAAAGGGAGGAGGAGACGACCAAGAGTGGTAGACGACAGGATGGAGTACCTAGTGATGATAGCCAGCCAGAGGGCGCTGGCTGACGCAGCACTCACAAAGTGGGAGTACTTGTCAACCAGCAGGCACCTAAGGATGGCGACGCGAGCAGTGGCGTCGCGGGACACCCATATAGAGAAGGCAGTACGAGTAGCAGCGTGCACAGCGTGCTGCACAGACGTCGCGTCAGTAGCAAGAGTGCCCGGGCGGGGGACAGCAGGGAGCTCACCAGAGACGTGGGCACCCAGGGACTCATCGTTGATGCGCTGACTCGTGAGCTGAAGGAGAACTGCCTCCTGCCAGGTAGAAAACCGACTGCCCGCCCCTCCCCATTCATGCGCAGAATGAAGACATCGGGTGCCGTGAAGACAGAGGTGGCAGAAGAAGGGACAGTAGGGGCAGCTGCTACAGGGCCAGCCAGGACAAGGGCTGCAGTGGGAGCCCGTGGCAGTGGTGGCTGCTAGCTAGAAGCAGGGTGGTGACAGTGGTTGCGGCGGCGGCGGGCCAGCAGTGAGCTGGCTAGCGGTGGCAGCTCTGCTACTGGCTAGCGGAGGAGGCTGCGTAGCTACAGGCGAGCCGTGGCAGTGGTGGCAGCAGCGGCTGCAGTGGCAGTGGCTGCTGGCAGCAAGAGCAGCGGCAGTGGTGGCTGCAGCGGCAGTAGCAGCTGCAGGAGGCAGCGCGGCAGCTGCAAGGGCAGCGGCGGCAGAGACGGCTGTAAGGGCAGCAGCAGCAGCGGTGACTGCAATGGCAGTGGCGGCTGCAAAGGGCAGCGGTGGCAGCGGCTGCTGCAAGGAAAGCGGCGGCAGCGGCGGCTGCAAGGGCAGCGGCGGCAGCGGGGGCTGCAAGGGCAGCAGCTGCAGCGGCAGTGGCGGTAGCGGCAGCGGCAGTGGCAGCGACGGCAGTGGAGGTTGCGGAAGTAGCAGTGGCTGCAGTGGCAGCGGCGGCTGCAGCAGCGGTAGGGACTGCAGCAGTTGCGGCAGGGGCAGTGGCGGCAGCAGCAGTGGCTGCAGCGGCTGCGAAAGCGGCGGCAATGGCAGTGGCAGCAGCAGCTGCAACAGTGGCAGTGGCGGCGGTGCAAGTGGCTGCAGCGGCAGTGGCTGCAGGAGCTGCGGCAGTGGCAGTAGCGGCAGAGCAAGTGGCAGCAGTGGCAGCTGCAGCAGTGGCAGCGGCAGTAGCTGCAGTGGCAGTGGTAGTGGCTGCAGCGGAGAGGCAGTAGTGGCGGCTACAGCAGCGGCAGTGGCAGCTGCTGCAGTGGCCGTGGTGGCTGCAGTGGCAGCGGCTGACTGTGGCTGCAGCGGCAGTGGCAGTTGCAGTGGTGAGTCGGCCAGCTACAAGCTGATAGGCGTGGGACGACTAGGTGCTAGCGGCGAGCTGGCGGAAGCCGTTGGCAGCTAGTTGGCTGGTGCTGCTGGCGACTAGCTGCTGGCGGCGAGCTAGTGGAAGCTACTGGCAGCAAGCTGGCTGGTGCTGCTGGCGCCAAGCTGGCTGGCACTGCTGGCGGCGAGCTGGCTAAGGCGGCTGGCTTGTGAGCTGGCTAACGGGCTGGATAGCGAGCTGGCTGACAGGCTTGCTAGCTAGCTGGCGCGTTGGCTGGCGAGCTCACTAGCGTGCGGGCTGGCATGCCGGCCTGCTGACTACCGCATGAACATATCGAACGCTAAGTGGGAGGGGAGGTGCTCGAGGATACGAAGCGCGAAATTGGAGGGCAGGGGGGTGCGCGAAATGGAAAGAGTGTCACATGCGCGAAAAAAGATGCTACAGTAATGGTGGAAGCATGAGTAAGGGCGGAAGCATGAGTAACGGCGTAAAAGGAAAGCCTAACCACGATCAATACCATGTTAGAGTAGCGGGAAAATTTGTGACTAAGGGGAAATGTCGAGAGATACAAAACTAGGGCTGTACTTGTAAGAACATGACTAGCTAGGCAACAAACAAATATGACCTAGCTAATCTATATAAATATATTTGTTGAGAGGTGTGTACTAATGATTGGCCATCCAATTGAATGGTCTCTTACATTGCAGAGATAGTACACTGGCTAACGGTGAAGAGGGTTGATGACGAGGGCTCTTGCTAGGCACTTGTTAGGTCACCAGACGGGCCCCAGAAACTGAAATGTCTACTGTAGCTCCAAAAAAGAAGCTACAGAATCAGAAGAATTGTTGTGAAATATCTAAAACTTCAGAAGTCTTTGATTTCACTTTTTAGGCTAACCTAGAAGGGCCATATTAACCTTCACGTTCCAAACTCCCAATGTTTGAGCATGCCTCCCAGTGCCCGAGGTCTTTGGGCAGCTGGGGCGTGTGCGAAAGAAAGATTGGGTTGTGTCACGAGAGGCTCTGATTGGTGGGATGACTGCTTGGGCGATAAATCACACCTGCGGCCACAGGAAAAAGGGAGGGCCTTAGCAAGAACCCTGTGTTAAGGGGGGGTGGGGAGGTTGAAATTGAAGGGGGTGGGCGAGAGGCAACACCATCGCAGGTTAGGGCGTATCCTAAGCCTGAAAATTCTTGTTATTTATTTCGGGTTCAGCTCGGTCTCGCATAGGAAGGTCGGGGCCTCATGCGATACAGTAGGCTCCAGTCCAGTGCGATACTTGTTTAAAATTGGAATGCAGGACACGCCCTTCCATTCATGCACAACCAGGGCCAGCCCCCGTCGGGCGATAACCCTCCCCCACACGAATTCCAATACGCGTCACGTGCTGATCTGGCTAAGGGCGGATTCCTATGACCTTACGTCATACCTCCCGTGGCAATGCATTGACAATACATATCTACGATGTTATATGGCATGATAGTGGTGATTCCACGTGTGATCATCGTGCTGCACGAGCTGGGTGATATGAAGGTGTATGAGCTGGTCACATGTTACATGTTTCAATTTCTTCGATACTTCCTAGGTGACTTGCTTAAGCAATCTAGAATCTTAAACCCCTAGTACTAAGCTTATCAAACCTATTAGGTTTGGTGCTACCTTGACAGCGAGGGTTGTTCTGCGGTCCGTGGGAGGGTTGTTTGGCGAGGGTCGCGAGGTTGGGAAAACGAAGGCGAAGTGGCGAGATTCAGAAAATTGGGTGTGGCGATTGTGGCCAACGGTTTCTGCGACACTTTTTCCAGCCCACCAATTTCAGGGGGTTTCATACCTAATAGATTTGGTCCCCAATTCAGGCAATTTGGAACTCGGGCTTTAAACAAGATGGTCCACAATACCTCATATGTTTGCACTTAGTTTGTGTTAAAGCCAAACACGAATATTCTCCCCATCCCTCTACAGATGGACCTAGCAGGCCCGTGCATTTTTAAATCATGCGCATCACAAAATTCATTGAGTCCCGCTACATCGACTGTGGTGACGAACTCGGTGGTAATCTCATTGAGCCCCTGTCCACTTTCTTGAAGCTCCACGAAGAGGGTGACACGCGGTGCATGTCTATGCAAAGGGTGGTTGCGCATGGCCGAACGACAACCTATACCTACTTGCCGCCGTCATGGGTGGTTGCGCACGGTCCAGGGGTCTTGCTTCACGCGTAACCCCTTGGCCATCAGGTCCACACCGCGGTCGCCATTCCCCCCCACGACCGCATGTTCTGTTGCGACAGCGGGGAGGTGGTGAAGGCAAGCCCCAAACAAGGGTGGTTCAGCCATGTCCGCATCGACGGCACTCGGTGAGCAGAGTGGTTCGGCCGGATGCCTTGTCCTGTTTCATTTCGTGGATGGGCAGCAACAGGTGGTACGCCGGGCGTTCGTCCAGTACTTCACAGAGCTGGAGGGGCAATGCGGGTTCACGGGATGTCGGCACCTTCAACCAACAGGGGGGGCTGATGCGTAGGCCATCATAGACGTCGACAACATACTCTCTCTGGCGCGCATTGTTCCGAGTGTCACCGATCCTGGGCTGTACTTGGTGAACCGGTTCCTCTTCTGAGGGAGGTTCCGTGTTGAACTATGCTAGTGCTGTTGGAAACTGTGTTGAACTATGCTAGTGCTATTTGTCGTACAACTGTTGTTGGGTATTCTGTACGCATACTCTTTATTTGATTGTAAACATTCTAGGGGCGCTGCTCGTGTAGCCGCGTGACGAATCCTGGTTAGCTTGTTGCGGGTCGTATTTAGTATCACGAGCTTTGAGATAAGCCATGTCACATTAGCTTGGTCGTAAATAATTATGTACCGCGGACCCATGAGGGAGGCAAGCTTGCACGTTGCGAATCTTGTGTGTGTTAATTTGGGTGTGATGTTGCGGGCGGGTATTGAACCCGAGTCTTCCCCGTGGGAACATCGCACAGGTGTCTTCCGGGACAGTTGCACTTTTTGGCTAGAGGCGAGGTGAGGTTTGGGACAGGTGGTGGGAAAAATGTCTCGCATCTGTCCCAACCAAACGTGTCTTTGTGGACGTATGCGGGACATTCGGTTTGATGGGTCTGTTTTGGGACATTCACTTTTTACTGATGGTGCCCCTCCCAGTGCATTCACTCCTCACCAGCCCTACCGTTCCATCCTTTCCACAACAAGATAGTCCCAAGACTGAAGACGCAGTAGGGTTCCACACGGCTAAAGCACAGAGAATCATAGACATTTGAAAGCAAATCACACGCTGGTGGAAGAGCCACTCTGCCCACCCATCAGCTCTGCACGAGCCATTTGAGCATTGAAGTCAGAGTCAGCTGAGGTGCCAATCTCCCTGTCAATGCGGCATGCAGCTCTGTGTGCCTCACCCCCAAACACCTCCTCCCTCATTGCTAGCAGATCCCCAAGCACTCTAGCCATTGAGGGGCGGGAGGCAGTGGGCATGGCAGTGCAGGTGAGGGCAAGGCGAGCCATGCGCAGCACCAAGTCATCCGGTGCATCCAAGTGAGGGTCCTTGAATGCCACCACGGCGCTGGATGCCACCAATGGAGCCACCTGCAGGGTGAGTTAGAGCAGGTACAAGTGACTAAAAAAGTGCTAAGTGGTGACAGAGCATGAATGGTGATTTTTGGATGCCCCATTTGACGACAAAAAGTGCATGCATTTGCCACCTTCATGATAATATGGAGGATTGATGGCTCACCCATTGCTTGAGGTTGATCAGGCTATCATCTATCATGTGGACGGCCTTGCGTGCTGTGATGACCACCAGCATCACCACGCCAAAACTGAAAATGCCACAGAACAAATGTCAGGTTTGGTTGAAATGCATAGTGTCTGCTTGTGGCTCTCTTGTGGAGAGTTGCCATTGAAACAGAGTGATGTAGAATCATGTACACGAGGAAGAGAAATGGTGCATGGAGAGTAGAAACAATCTGATGGGTGCAAAGAAGTGCATTAACAAGGCTAATGATGCACCACATGGAATCACATGGAATCAATCGTGGTGCACACAATCTCGCATGTGGAAAAAATAGAGAACACGAAATATGGGTGAGATGGTGTTGAGATGGTTGTTGTCGTGTATTTCAAACATACACATCCGTTGAAGGTGTAGCAGCGCCAGGCTAAGGATGCTTGCAATGTCATTCGGTTCATATGAACTTCAGGTTGGTTACCCATTTCATTGCATTCGCGACCAATAAAATATGCCAAAAGTGCGTAAATTCTCAGTCTGAAATTTTGTAACTGTGATTTTCAAACGAGATCACACCCTCCCTAGTCTCCTCACCTGTGCACATCTGCTGCTGGGGTGGCCTTGTGTGTCTTGTAGTAGGCAGGGTCCACATAGCCTGGTGTTCCCATCACTCGAGTGGCCGCCACAGAGGTGCCCATGGAGGTGCCTCCACTCAGCTTCACCAGCCCAAAGTCAGCAATCTTGGCCTGCCGATCACGGCGAACCAAATGGTGAATGCACAATCAACTGGATGGTTGATGACTTGAGAGATATATGGAAATTCAAGAGGCATGAATGAAAAAATATCACGATATGCAAGAGTGTTTCCAATTTAGCCCCAAATTGGCCATACTATGCACAAGCGAGCAGTCATAAGAGCGGGTCATGAAGGTTGATTACGAGAGATGCACAAATTGAATCATGCCTGCATTTTTCCATCGAGGAGAATGTTGGCTGGCTTGATGTCGCGATGCACAATGCCAAAGTCATGAAGGTACTGCAGCCCCTTTGCCACTCCAATCAGAACGTCAAGCCTTTGCCACAGAGAAAGAGGGTTTGGCAAGCCGGGTCCGATCCAGCTCTCAAGGTCTTTGTTCTCCATGTACTCGTACACCAAGATCTGCTCCATAATTTTTGTGGTTGTGTTCATGTCAATGCAATAGCCAAGCAGCCGCACAAGATGGGGGTGGTGCTTGCTGGCCATCTCCTTCACCTGGGAGTTAGGGTGGTGCAAAAGCAAGGAAACATGTTGAATGGGGTAAAATTAGAGGGTTTCAAACTCACATAATATATTGGGGGTTACTCTTTGCAGCGAAATGACCAATGTAAGGTAAGATGTAAGATCAGGTTGAGCTTTGCATCACAATACCTCTCTTTGGAAGTCGTTGGTGAGCACTCTGGCTCGTTTGACTGCCCAGAATTGAGTGCAGCTGTGGGGAGACACGCCCTTGTAGACATCCCCAAAGCCGCCGCTGCCAATCCTATTCTCATCTGCCCAATCTGCAGTTGCCTTTGCCAACTCTTCCAGGGAGTACTCCTGGCAAACAAGTGGCCGTGCTGCCTCCATCTCCACCACCACATTATCTCGCCCTCCTACAACTGCTGCTGCTGCTGCTGCTGCTGCCATGGCTGCTGCTGATGATTCCGATTCCTCTTTTCCCCTGAGTACTACTGCATGTTAGCAGGAGATGGTGGGAACTTGGGTCAATGAATAGCAATTATTTTGGGGAGAAGGGGGGCCAAAGGTAAAACGGGTAATGTAAAATAGAGTTATAAGTGTGCACATGCTAGTGCCATCACGGCAATTGACACAGCTTACCCGCACAAGCACACTCTGACCCTCCTGATATTACAGAGCTCCACTGAGTCCTTGAGCCATCATTGAAATACCTTCTGCAGAACATGGTTGCACTAGGCGCTAGCTTTGCCTCCTCGCGTTGCCATGTTTACATCTCTGCACCTCATACAAGAGAGTGCACTTGTAGGAGAGAAAGTTTTCACCTTGGGAGCTCTTAGCTAGCACGGCGTCCTTGCTCTCCTTATCGGTTGCATCAGCTCCTTGTGCCGCTGCTTCGCAGCAGCCTCTCCTCCATGCCCACACAAAAACCACAACCAGCACCAGGGAGGACACGGCAGCAACAACAATGCCAGCGGTAGCTCCCTTTGACACTGGTGTGGGGAGGAGAAAAAGACCAGCGATAAATTATTGGAGACTAGGATAAATAAGGGAGAATCATTAAACATGGTAAGGAACGCTGTTGGGGTTGTCAGACCAAACAAATCTCAAATGGTACCCCTTGATAGATCGCCTCTAGAAATGATGTTTACATGGTCTACTTGAGATCTCAATTTGGTCACCTGACTTGTCTGGGAAGTGATCACGCTTACGTTGGTCACACGTGCTGCAGAAGGAGGGGCAACTTTCACAAAAGGCGCTTGAAGTGTTCTGTTCGACCCCACAGCTGTTGTAGTCTGGTGGACATGCCACTCCACCTCTGAAGCTGCACGTGCAAATCGAGCGTGTTAGTCTCCAAACACCACAAATTAAAAGTCACTGGTGGACGGGCCACTCCACCTCTGAAGGAACGGAAAAAGCACCACAAATTAGAAGGTAGTTCGTGCTAGTTCCTCGTAATGTCAGTTAGGCTGTCCTCCTCTGCCTTCTTTCCAAGTTGAAATCTGCACTTGGAGTGGTGTAGCCCAGTTGAGGTTCAATTTCACTTCAGTTTCTGAGCTGGTCTATAAACTGAACACGACCCTAACTGACATAACGATTGGTCAGGATATCCATCTCAACCTAGCATACGTTGTATCTCGCACATTCACAATATAACTACTTCCATTTTTCTCTTCAATTTTCTCCTATGGGCCTCCCTGGTAAAATCTTGTGGTTCTCTGCATCATACGAAAGAGGTGCGCTACCGGGGGATACGATAGGTTACACAGGGGAGAAGAGAAGAGGGGAACAGGAAGCACATAAGCAAGAAAATGAGTCAAATGTACACATCATACATGCAAGGCAATGAGAATTCAGCTTCAACGGCCACACCATAACATACACAAACTTGCAAGAAATTCCAGAGAGACTGATGAAGAAGCCCCAAGTATCCTCTCATGGCCAATTGCACGATTCCATATTCATTCGGATATGGCAGCAACAAGTCTCTACGAAATTACTCAAATCAATCAACCCAAACACTGTGAAGGCGGATACGTACAAATATGTCAAATTGTTCAAGTTGCCAACAGTTGATGGAAGGGGTCCACTCAATGCGCTGTTCGACACATCCCTAATGGAGCCAGGGATGGATGTCATGGAAGAATGGGGATCAAAGAAGGGGAGAAGGAGATAAGTTGAGGAAGGCGGCAAGAGACAGTGAGCCACGAGCACACATGAAGGAGAAGATTATACAGGCACAAGGAAGAGAAGGAATTAGGACATCATCAGCAATAGCATCGTTTATGACATGCTAAACTGGTAAGAAAGTGAATACAGACGACTAAAGCTCCTGGCCATTACTCCTTGGCCCAAAGACACAGTTCTGTAGGCACAGCAGAAAAAATAACTCTGCAAGCTCAGGTTTGTTCGCTACGCACTTCAGTTGTCTGTAGTTGCAGCAGCTGAGTGCTCATATTGGCTAGCCTCCTCCTTGCCGTTTATTCTGGCTGAAGATTCTGTGTAGGAGTATTGTAGACTGGTTATAATTCAAGGTAAAGATTCAATTCACTTCCAAAACTAGGCTGAAAACGGCCTCAACGTTTTGAACGAAGGATTTCCACCTCAACCTATTATATGTCGTAACTTTCATTATCAATCGCTTCCTAATTCTATCTAGTATATGTCGTAACCTCTTCCTCATTTCTCGTCAACATTTCTCATATCTTTCTTCGTTGTTAAACCTTGGGATTTCTAAAAAAGGTGTGTGCTATTAGGTTGTACTAACAAATATTCGAGGTTTTTCAAGCTCCCAATGGTTGATGGAACAGGTCCCCTGAAGTCCTTGCCTGATAGATACCCGAGGGTAGGCATAAGCAAGCGAGTCCAGTTAGGACTTGACTCACCTTTTTTCCGACTCGTGCTTTACTTTTTTGGGACCCACCGACTCGACTCGAGTAGAGTAAACCTCGAATCGTGCTTTACTATTTTGTTGAGTGAAAAAGAAATCGACGAGTCAAAATCGACTTGAGTCAAAATGGACTCAACTGAGTCAGTTTCGCCGACTGATTTGCGCGCATCGGTTCGTTCTGAATCTGCGCGGATCTGACGTCAACCGAGGGGACGTGAAACCCCCCCGGTATATCAAGCTAGTCAAGTCAACCTTGATTTGACCCGAGTCGGCCCCGGTCAGACTGAAGTCGACCCTAAAGGCAAGTCACGAGTTGGTTTTTTGGCTGCCTGACTCGGACCAAGTCGAGTCCGATTTGAATGAGTTGAGGCTTGACTCACCTCTTGCTCATGCCTACGAGAGGGGGTACGAGGTGCATTCCATAAAGGCAAGAAACAAAGAGCCAAGTGCAGACATCATGGAGGATACATACAGCTCAGCACGACAGTGAAACTAGAAATGAAGTTACGTACTCCACAGAATGTGCCTTTGAGGTTTGGCTATGGAATATTGGCAGTGTGATTGTACTGGGGAGGATTGAAGGATGTGATACACTAGTGTAATATAGGATACTGACAGATAGGTCAGTCTGCTCAAGCTGTCAATGGTTGATGGAATAGTTCCTGTTAGGTTTTTACCCGTTATAATCCTGGGGCACGAGGTGGATCCCATAAATAGGGAGTAGTAACAGGAGAAGAGGAGAGGGTGCACAGGGGTGAGACAGGTCAGAATAGGAAGTTGCAGCCAGTTGAAGCCAGATCCAGTTATGCTACTCCAAATCTCCATGGGGCACGAGTTGGGTTCATGCGTGGAGGGATAGTAGAAGGAGAGGAGGGCGGGTGCACAAAGATGAGAATAGGAATAGGAAAGCGAAAGACGGCGTTGAGACATTCTATTCCAAAGGCAATGCATACTGAAGGATTCTGTGGAGGGAGAGGAAGGGGGGAGAAAGAGGAATGGTGGAGCTGCTGTGTTGGCTAGCAGAGATTGCCAGCATTGTGTGAGCTGCTACAGTGGCACGACGTCACACACAGCCAGGCAGGCTGTGCTTCTTGTTAGGAGGCAGACGAGGAAGGAGAGAAATAGAGAAGGAAAGGAGGGGGCAGGAAAAAATGGGAGCACAGGAAGGAAGGAGGGAAGCGGGAGGGGGGGGGAATGGGCAAAGAAATCAAAGGCAAGTATTTTCAAGGGGTCGCTCACATGCGGGTTATCATTCCCTGGCCGTCGCAATACACATAGGCTGCATTGCTGCAGTTTCCGCCAACCTCCCAGTCGGTGATACGCATGTTCCACTCCTCCTTGCAGTCCACAAGGAATTGCGCTGCGGGCAGGCGTGACAGGAGGGAGAAACAGAGGTTTAAGCAGAGAACAGGCGGGAGAATCTGTCTCATTTTGTGCATAACTTTATGCAAACGACATAACTGTGATGCCATGCAGCTACTAGCTGGGTTAGCTTCCTAAAGACACGGGTTCTAAACATATCAGTCATATGTGACCTTCTAGAGATTTTAATTCAGACCTGGATTCAGCGAAACGCGTGGAGTTAACTCTTGAGAGCGAGACAAGTCAGCAAAACCAAAGGGCTGCTGGCGCTCCATCACTTTCTGACTGTACGTTGGTCGTAGTGACTCATTGTTGTTCTCCACGTCACAAAAATGTGGATCTCTCCTATACTGTAGGTATAGTTGTTCGTATAGCAAGGCTACTCCGTATCAGACGTACCTATGCCGTACCTACTGTATACCTACTCCGTATTTCTGATCCTAATATTTTGGGACGCGGGAAAATAGTTTGGCTCGCTGCGTTCCCAATCCGTAGTACCACTACTACTAATTATACCACCTGGTGACAGCGAGCGGCCACAGGTACGTGTCACTACAGCCTTTGGAGAAGCGGCTGTTTTATCAACGGTTCAAGGATGGCACTGAGGCGTATGGTTAACAGGAGAAAAAGAAAGGGGCGTTGCAATGCCCAGCAAGACGGACAAGAGGTGTACAAGGTGCGGAGCATGTAAATGGGTGAAATTCAGACCTTG